TTACCCAGCGTAAAATAGCAAAGACTTTTAAGTTATCATCATCAACCGTGCATAACATCATCAAAAGATTCAGAGAATCTGGAACAATCATTGTGTGTAAGGGTCAAGACCGTAAAACTCTACTGGATGCTCGTGATCTCCGGGCCCTTAAACGTCACTGCACCTCAAACAGGAATGCCACAGTCAAGGAAATAACAAAATGGGCTCAGGAATGCTTCCAGAAAGCATTGTCAGTGAACACAATCCACCGTGCCATCCGCCGTTGCCAGCTGAAACTCTACAGTGCAAAGAGGAAGCCATTTCTAAGCAAGCTCCACAAGCTCAGATGTTTGCACTGGGCCAGGGGTCATTTAAAATGTAGTGTGGCAAAATGGAAGACTGTTCTGTTGTCAGATGAGTCACGATTTGAAGTTCTTTATGGAACACTGGGACGCCATGTCATCCGGACCAGAGAAGACAAGGATAGCCCAAGTTGTTATCAATGCTCCATTCAGAAACCTGCATCACTGATGGTATGGGGTTGCATGAGCGCTTGTGGCACGGGCAGCTTGCATGTCTAGAAAGGCACCATTAATGCAGATAACTATGTTCAGGTTCTAGAAAAACATATGCTTCCATCTAGACATCATCTCTTTCAGGGAAGACCCTGCATTTTTCAACACGATAATGCCAGACCACATTCTGTAGCAATCATAACATCATGGCAACGTAGGAGAAGGAACCGGGTACTGAAATGGCCAGCCTGCAGTCCAGATCTTTCACCTATAGAGACCATTTGGCGCATCATAAAGAGGAAGGTGCGACAAAGAAGGCCCAAGACGATTGGACAGTTAGAGTCCTGTATTAGACATGAATGGGAAAGCATTCCTATTTCTAAACTTGAGAAACTGGTCTCATCTGTCCCCAGACGTCTGTTAAGTGTTGTAAGAAGAAAAGGGGCTTCCACACAGTGGCAAAAATGGACTTGTCCCAACTTTTTTGGGATTTGTTGACACCATGAAATTTGGAAACAGATTTTCCCTGAAATGATACATTCTCGCAGTTTAAACTTTTGATCTGTGATTTGTGTTCTATTCTGTATAAAATATTATATGTTGGCACCTCCACATCATTGCATTCAGTTTTTATTCACAATTTGTTTAGAGTACTAACTTTTTTGGAATCCGGTTTGTGTATATATATATATATATATATATATATATATATATATATATATATATGTAGACTGTAAATGGTAAATGGACTGTACTCATTGAATCGCCACCTTATTGTGGTGGTGGAATTTGTGTGCCTGAATGATCCTAGGAGCTATGCTGTCAGGGGCAATTATAATTGTCCCTGGTAGGGTCTCCCAAGGCAGACTAGTCGGTCCTAGGTGACAGGCCAGACAAAGAGCGATTCCGAAGATTTTTATGGACATGATACAACAAGGAACTCGGTGTGCCCAGATGTGGGTTACCGGGTCTCTATCCATGGGGCCCAGTGAGGCTCAGCCCGAAGGAGCAGCATGGGTTTGCCTTCCTATGGACCCACCACTTGCAGGAAGGGACATAAAAGTCAGGTGCGTGATGCCATGGGCAGTGGCCGAAGGCGGAGACCTTGGCACTCTGACCCTGGCTTACCAAAGCTGGCTCTTGGGACATGGAACGTGACCTCTCTGGTGGGAAAGGAGCATGAGCTTGTGTGTGAGGTTGAAAGGTACCGACTAGATATAGTTGGGCTCACCTTAGCGCACATCATGAGCTATGGAACTGATCTCCTTGAGAGGGGCTGGGCATTATTCCACTCTGGAGTTGCCCATGGTGAGAGGCGTCGAGCTGGTGTGGGTCTACTTGTAGACCCCCAACTTGGTGCTTGTGTGTTGGAGTTTTACCCAGTAGATGAGAGGGTGGCTTCCCTTTGCCTGCAGATGGTGGGACGGGCTCTGACTGTTGTCTGTGCCTATGCACCAAATGGCAGTTCAGAGTATCCAGCCTTCTCTGAGTCCTTGGTAGGAGTGCTGGAAGGTGCACCTGCTGGGGACTCCTTTATTCTGCTGGGGGACTTCAGTGCCCACATGGGTAATGAGAGTGTGACCTAGAGGGGCATGATTGGGAGGAATGATTTCTCTGATCTGAACCCGAGCGGGGTTCTGTTGTTGGACTTCTGTATTAGTCATAGTTTTCCATCACAAACACCATGTTTGAACATGAGGGTTTCCATAAGTGCACTTGGCACCAGGATGCCCTAGGTCGTAGATCGATGATAGACTTCATAGTCGTGTCATCTGATTTACGGACGTTTGTTTTGGACACTCGGGTGAAGAGAGCAGCTGAGCTGTCAACTGGTCACAATCTGGTAATTGGTTGAATCAGATGGCGGAGTAAGAAGCAGGACAGACCTGGTAGACCCAAATGTGTAGTGAGGGTTTGCTGGGAACGTCTGGCAGAAGAACCTGTCAGAGAGATCTTCAAGTCACACCTCTGATAGAGCTTTAACCGCATCCCAGCTGAGGTGGGGGACATTGAGTCTGAGTGGGCCATGTTCTGCACCTCACTTGTTGATGTGGCTGCCTTGAGCTGTGGCCGCAAGGTTGTCTGTGCTTCTCGTGGTGGCCATCCACGAACTCGGTGGTGGACACCCCGGGTTAGGGAGGCTGTCAAACTGAAGGAGGAGTCCTATCAAGCTTTGTTGGCCAGTGGGACTCTGGAGGCTGCTGAGGAGTACCGTAGGGCCAAGCAGTCCGCAGCCTTGGCTGTTTTTGAGGCAAAATGTCAGATGTGGGAGGAGTTCGGTGAGACCTTTGATAACGACTCTCTGTCGGCTCCAAGGAGATTCTGGCAAACCACAAGACGGCTGAGGAGGGGAAAGCAGCACTTTACTAACACAGTATTCAGTGAAGGTGGGCTGCTGTTGACCTCAACCAGTGATGTCGTCGGGAGGTGGAAAGAACACTTCTCGGACTTTCTGAATCCCACCAGCACATCTTCCATGGAGGAAGCTGAGTCGGGGGACTTTGGGGTTGATCCATCCATAACTGTGGCTGAATTCGCCAAGATCGTTAAAAAGCTCAGAGGTGGCAGGGCTGCAGGAGTGGATGACATTCGCCCTGTTTCCTTAAGGCTCTAGATGTTATGGGACTGTCTTGGTTGACACACCTTTGCAACATTGCGTGGATATTGGGGGCAGTGCCACTGGATTGGCAAACTGGGGTGGTGGTTCCCCTCTTCAAAAAGGGGGACCGGTGGGTGTGCTCCAACTATAGGAGCATCACTCTCCTCAGCCTCCCTGGTAAGGTCTATTCAGTGGTACTGGAGAAGCGAGTTCGATCACTGGTCGAACCTCAGATCCAAGAGGAACAATTTGGGTTCCGTCCTGGCCATGGAATACTGGATCAGCTCTTTACCCTCACTAGGGTCCTCAAGGGGTCATGGGAGTTTGCCCTTCCTGTCTACATGTGTTTTGCAGATTTAGAGAAGGCATTCGTCCGAGTTCCTCGGGATACACTGTGGGGGTGCTCCGTGAGTTTGGGATTGGGGGCCCGTTGCTATGGGCTGTTCAGTCCGCATACAAGTGGTGCAAGACTTGGTTCGCATTGCTGGCAGTAAGTCAGACACCTTCAGGGTGGGAGTTGGACTCCGCCAATGCTGCCCATTGTCACCGATTCTTTTCATAACTTTTATGGACAGAATTTCTCGGTACAACCAGTGGGTGGAGGGTTTTTGGTTCGGTGGTCTCAGGATTCCATCTCAGCTCTTTGCAGATGATGTGGTCCTGTTGGCGTCATCATGCCGTGATCTTCAGTTCTCACTGGAGCAGTCCGCAGCCGAGTGTGAAGGAGTTGGGATGAGAATCAGCACCTCCAAATCTGAAGCCATGGTCCTCAACCAGAAAAGGGTGGATTGCTCTCTCCAGATCGAGGGAGAGGTTCTTCCTCAAATGGAGGAGTTCTAGTATCTCAGGGTTTTGTTCACGAGTGAGGAAAGAATGGAGCGTGAAATTGACAGACAGATTGGTACAGCATCTGCAGTATTGCGGACTCTGTACCAGTCCGTTGTGGTGAAGAGGGAGCTGAGCTGTAAGGCAAAACTCTCCTTTTACCGGTTGGTTTACGTTCCTACCCTCACCTGTGGTCACAAGCTCTGCGTAGTGACCGAAAAATGAGATTGTGGATACAGGCGGTTGAAATGAGTTTCTTCTACAGGTTAGCTGGACTCTCCCTTAGAGATAGAGTGAGAAGTTCAGTTATCCAGGAGAGACTCGGAGTAGAACCGCTGCTCCTCCACATCGAGAGGAGCCAGTTGAGGTGGTTTGGGCATGTGTTAATGATGCCCCCTGGACGCCTCCCTAGCGAGGTGATTCGGTCATGTCTGACTGGGAGGAGACCCCGGGTAAGACCCAGGACACGCTGGAGAGACTATGTCTCTCGGTTGGCCTGGGAACGCCTTGGAATCCTCCCAGAAGAGCTGGAAGAGGTGGTTGTGGAAAGAGATGTCTGGGCTTCTTTGCGCAAAGTACTGCCCCAGTGACCCGACTTTGGAACAAGCGGAAGATAATGGATGGATGGCTAGATGGACTGTACTTATATAGCACCTTTCTCTATTTTCGAGACACTTAAAGCGCTTTACACTACAATCTGTGCCCTCATTTACACATTCATACAGCACACTACTGTATCTCTACAAAGCTAATTGAACAAGTCATTCTAAAGAGACTAATCAGTGCTTTATCACATTCATACACCGATGGGACACACATTGAGGGTTTCAGTGTCTTGCCCTGAGACACTTTGGCGTGTGACTTCTGGTGGAGTCATACCCCCAACACTTGCATTGGAGGACGACTGCTCTAACCACTCAGCCACAGCCGCCCCTGATCTGCCCAAGATAAATTAATGTAACTAAATACACATTTGTTCCACTGTTAGACAGCATGTTGCTTAATCTTTTCATCTCCCCGGCTCTAAGATCAGTATAACAAATGAAGGTCAACGGTTGTACAAGGCCTATGCCATTGCTATAGATTGCTGTATAATAGTTTGTCGGTGGGTGTATAATGTGCCATATGTTGTACTCTTGTTAGTTATTTTTTGTATCAGACCTTTTACAATAAAGCCTGAAAATGTTGCATTAACTTCATTTTGCCACAATGGTACATATAATAGCCTGTTTTTTGTCCTCAAAATTATGCAATAAAATATCAAGTCCCTCCTAGATAGATTCTTACCCTAAACATAAATGCAGTTTGTTTTGTCACCTTCTGAGGGCAGTAATACATGTCTGTTATGATGTATGATGTTAAAACTTCCTTTAAAAGGTATTGAATTAATTGCTACTTTGTTTCATGTCCACCAGGTGGTATGGTGGGACAACGTCTGTCTGACCACCCTGACATTCGCAAGCTTGGCTTCACCGGCTCCACGCCGATTGGCAAGCAGATCATGAAGAGGTGAGCTCCATTAGAAGAATGGGTTAGATGAGGATGAGGGTTTCATTCACAGCTCTTTGTTTTTTCCTGCAGCTGTGCACTCAGTAACCTAAAGAAGGTCTCTTTGGAGCTGGGAGGGAAATCACCTCTGATCATCTTCAGTGACTGTGACATGGACAAGGCTGTTCGCATGGTGAAAAAACATGACTCAGCAAACTTTTGATTTACTTCGCACGTTATGGACAAGTTGTTTTTCAACTCAACACAAGTAATGGTTTATATACATATGTTGCTTTTCCACTGTCTCTACACTCATCTGTTCTGCACCACATTGCACCATTTAAGGGCCTGTCCACTGCCGGTAACCACCACCACTCAGCCTGTTTATGGGACCACTTTCTTTGTGTTTAAAGTGAACTGCTCTGAGGCGCCGATTTTGACGTAAGCAGACAGCAGCCATAGATTAGCCAGTGGAGCCACGTCACCGTGACTGTTCTGCACTGTTAGTTTGTTCTAGTTTCTATAGTTCAGTACTGAAGCTACAAAAATATTTAATATGGAACTGATTTTTTTCTTGAAAACTTTGTTTTTATTTTCTTTTTTTATGGTTTTTATTTTTGGAGAAGGTGTGAGCGACCACGCTCCTATTGTTTACTCTCGGGACCAGCTGCTTTCCCTCCGCAGCTCCGCTGTGCCTCCTCCTGTAGAGCGACCTGATGTCCCCCGCGAGCTGAGAAGGAAGAGACGCGGGAGACGTGCAGGCATAGGGCGTCGCAGCCAGGGCATAAGGTACAGACCTGTCCTCCCATCCATCATTATGGGAAACGTGAGATCTCTTCACAACAAAGTGGACAAGCTGGCGGCTCTAACGAGACATCAGAGGAGCAACCGGGAGATCAGCCGCATGTGCCTGACGAAGACGTGGCTGACTGAGCTAACTCCGGACTCAAATATTAACATGGACGGCTTTCATTTACTTCATGCGGACAGAACCAGAGAGAGTGGTAAGAAGAGAGGAGGGGGTGTGGCTGTGTTTAGATAGATGGTGTAACGCTGGACATTTAACCATCAAACAGACGCTCTGCAGTAAAGACATTGAACTTCTAGCAGTTGGTATGAGACCACACTATCTTCTGCGGGAGTTTTCACACGTTATTGTGATAACGGTGTATGTCCCGCCCTCTGCTGATGCTGCTGCAACCTGTGACATCATTCACACCACCACCAGCAGACTCCAAACACAGCACCCACAGGTCCTCTTTCTGATCTCTGGGGACTTTAATCATGTTTCCCTGTCCTCCACTCTCCCTACCTTCACCCAGTATGTCACCTGTCACACCAGAAATACCAACACACTGGATCTACTTTTTGCCAATACCAATACAGTTCATCACATCTGCCTCCCCTGGGGGGCTCAGATCACAATCTGGTTCATCTGCAGCCTGTGTATAAAACCCTGGTGTGCAGAGAACCAGCTGTTTTGAGCACAGTGAAGCAATGAACTGAGGAGACTGAAGAAGCTCTGAGGGACTGTTTCAGCTCCACTGTGTGGGAAGAGCTCTGTGCTCCTCATGGAGAGGACATTGACTGTATCACGGACTACATCAATTTCTGTGTGGACAACACTGTACCTATCAGGACAGTACGGCGTTTCTCCAACAACAAACCATGGATTAATCCTGAAATAAAGGCTCTCCTGAAGGAGAAGAAAAAAGCATTTAGATCAGGTAACAAGGAGGAACTGAGTGCTGTGCAGAAAGAACTGAGAAGAAAGATTAGGGATGGAAAAAACATCTACAGGAAAAAGATGGAGGATCAGCTGAAGCAGAACAACATCAGTGGGGTGTGGAGGAGCCTTAAAAACATATCAGGCCACAAATCAAGCCCCCAGGCTGTAGGAGACAAAGGGTGGGTGAATGACTTGAACCAGTTCTTTAACAGATTTGATCTGTCACCCACCCCCATCCCTACTCCAGCCTTGTCCCCCCTGCTGTCAGCCCCATCATCACCTTTAATGACTGCCAACTTCTCTTCTCAGGAATTCACAGCTCTCAGCCATCAGCCTCCCCCTTCATTCCAGAAGACTTCATTTCACAGCCCCCTTCCACCACCTCCATCTTGTCCCTATCAACTCTTCAGGTGAGGAATGAGCTGCGAAAGATCAAGGTGCATAAAGCTGCAGGTCCAGATGGAATTAGCTCCAGGCTCCTGAGGTGCTGCTCAGATCAACTGTGTGGCATCATGGGATTTTTGTTCAATCTGAGCCTGAAGCTGGGGAAAGTACCACAATTGTGGAAGACCTCCTGTGTGGTACCGGTACCAAAAACCAAACATCCCAAGGACCTCATAAACTACAGGCCGGTGGCTCTGACCTCACATTTGATGAAGACCCTCGAGAGGCTGGTCCTCAACAATTTGTGCCACTTGGTGAGGTCTTCATTAGATCCATTGCAGTTTGCCTACCGGCTTGGCATCGGGGTGGATGACGCCATCATCTACCTCAGGCACCAAGCTCTGACCCACCTGGAGAAACCTGGAAGCACTGTGAGGATCATGTTCTTTGATTTCTCCAGTGCTTTCAACACCATCCAGCCAGGACTTCTGTGGGACAAGTTGGAGTTATCAGGAGTGGATCACCACATGTCCCAGTGGATACTGGATTACCTCACTGGACGCCCACAGTATGTGAGGACACAGGGCTGTGTCTCTGACATGCTGGTCTGCAGTACGGGGGTCCCACAGGGAACTGTGCTGGCACCGTTCCTCTTCACCCTCTACACTGCAGACTTCACCATCGACTCCCCACACTGCCATCTGCAAAAGTTTTCTGATGACTCTGCCATAGTCGGCCTCATCACAAGTGAGGAGGACTCAGAGTACAGACAGCGGACTCAAGACTTTGTGGACTGGTGCCAGCAGAACCACCTCCTGATCAACGCTGCTAAAACTAGGGAGCTGGTTGTGGATTTCCGCAGGCACAGGTCCACCTCACTTATCCCGGTGAATATCCAGGATGTGAACATCGAGATTGTGGACTCTTACAAGTACCTGGGTGTTCACCTGAACAATAAACTGGACTGGTCTCGCAACACTGATGCACTTTACAGGAAGGGTCAGAGCAGACTCTACCTGCTGAGGAGACTGAGGTCTTTTGGAGTGCAGGGAGTGCTCCTGAAGACATTCTTTGACTTGGTAGTGGCATCAGCCATCTTCTATGGTGTTGTGTGTTGGAGCAGCAACTTATCATCAGCGGAGAAGAAGAAGCTAGATAAGCTCATCAAGAAGGCCAGCTCTGTGCTTGGACGCCCCCTTGACCCAGTGCAGGTGGTGGGAGACAGAAGGACTCTAGCTAAAATAACATCATTGCTGGACAATTTCTCCCACCCCATGCATGAAGCTGTTGCTGAACTGGAGAGCTCGTTCAGTGACAGATTACTGCATCCTAAATGCACAAAGGAGCGTTACCACAGGTCTCCTGATGCATGCTCAATAATCCAGGTAGAAAAATCCAAAAAAGTTCAATCTGGTCCTCTGGACATTCAAAAAGACAAAAAACAAAACAAAGCAAAAAAATGTAGAAACGTTTCGTCTCTCATCCAAGAGACTTCCTCAGTCTGAGGTGCTGTTTTCAGCTCAGTCTCTTAAATAGCACATTCTCAGAGTGGATCAACCAGTTTGCTGCTGACAACCAAAACCAGCTGATCACATGCTCAAGAAGGACCATCAGCCTAACAATGGATCATTAGCAGACTGATGGCTGTTTGCTATTCACAGAGGGCTGAGTGATACTAGCAATCACAGCATTGTAAGAGGGGGACAGTTGCACCCGGAGGCCTCCACCCCTGTTTAATGATGGACGATTTCTTTTCACAAAGATGGCCTCCTTTACTCCTCTCTCAAACCATTGTTCCTCTCTGTCCAGGATGTGAACATCTTTGCGATTGCACCAAGTAGAATTCCTCTGGTGGAGATGATCACAGCCACAGAATCAGCCATCTGCAACAACAAAATGAAAGAGGGTGAAGCAGAACAGCTCAGAATCAAAGTTTCATCCTGCCTCAGCAATGCCAAACCACCACCTTCCAACATCAGTAGAGAGGAGAGGGATGCACTCACCACTCTTAGCAAGGACAAAAACATCATCATTCATCCAGCAGACAAAGGAAGGTGCACAGTGATTTTGAACCAGAAAGACTATCATGAGAAAGTTATGACACTCCTTAGTGACTTAACCACTTATGAACCTCTGAAAAAAGATCCAGGAAGTGGTTACAAGAAGAAGTTAATAGATTGCCTGAAAAATTTGGAGTAGGACAAGGCTATTGACCGTATTCTGTACCACAGACTGTACCCAGGGGAGGCCACACCTAGTCTGTATGGTTTAACAAAAATCCACAAACAAGGTGTACCTTTAAGACCTATTGTTAGCATGATTAACTCTGTCACTTACAATGTTTCCAAATATCTGGCATCTGTACTCATCCCTTTAGTTGGCAGCTCAGAACACCACATACAGAACACCATGGACTTTGTGGATAAGGTGAGGGATGTCATCATGGAGACTGATGAAACAATGGTCTCTTTTGATGTCACATCACTCTTTACGTGCATTCCTGTTGATGATGCAGTAGAGGTGGTCAGTTTAAAATTAAAATCAGACACCACTCTGAGCAACAGGACCACGCTTTCCACAGAACAACTGTCAACTCTTGAAACTGTGCCTGCAGTCAACCTACTTCACATATGGGGAGCAATATTATAGGCAGAAACATGGGTGTGCTATGGGGCCTCCAGTTTCTCCTATTGTTGCCAACCTGTACATGGAGGAGGTAGAAAAGAGAGCCTTGATGTCCTTTTCAGGGACACCACCAAGTCATTGGTTCAGGTATGTTGACGACACCTGGGTTAAAATTAAATCTCAGGAAGTCCAACATTTTACTGACCACATCAACTCTGTGGATAAATACATCAAGTTCACACGAGAAGATGTAAAAAATGGCAAGTTGGCTTTCTTGGACTGTGAGGTCTCAGTCTCTGATAGAGGACATTTGCAAACAGAGGTGTACCGCAAACCCACCCACACAGTTTGATTCCCATCACCCTTTGGAGCACAAGTTAGGAGTTATCAGGACTCTGTATCACAGAGCAGACAGCATCCCCACTAACTCGGGAGCCAGGCAGAAGGAGAAATCCTACACAAAACAGGCTCTAGAGCAATGTGGATATCCTAACTGGGCCTTCCTGAAAGCAGAGAAGAAACCCAAACAGGACTCCAGTCAGCCATCAGGTGAAAAGGAGGAACCCAGACCCAGACCAGTGGTCATTCCGTATGTTTAGGGAGTATCAGAGAAACTGAGACGTTTATTTTCTAAACATAACGTCCCAGTGGCTTTTAAACCCCAAAATACATTACGGCAAAGACTGGTTCATCCCAAAGATCCAGTCCCCCGGCACAAACAGAGTAATATTGTGTATGCTGTTCAGTGTCAGGAGGGCTGTGATCAGTCTTACATCGGGGAAACTAAACAGCCACTGGCCAAAAGGATGGCCCAGCACAGAAGATCAACATCATCAGGCCAGGATTCTGCGGTCTACACTCATCTCCAGGCCAGCGGTCACTCTTTCAAGGATGAAGATGTGCACATCCTGGACAGAGAGGAACGATGGTTTGAGAGAGGAGTAAAGGAGGCCATCTTTGTGAAAAGAAATCGTCCATCATTAAACAGGGGTGGAGGCCTCCGGGTTCAACTGTCCCCCTCTTACAATGCTGTGATTGCTAGTATCACTCAGCCCTCTGTGAATAGTAAACAGCCATCAGTGTGCTAATGATCCATTGTTAGGCTGATGGTCCTTCTTGAGCATGTGATCAGCTGGTTTTGGTTGTCAGCAGCAAACTGGTTGATTCACTCTGAGAAGGTGCTATTTAACACTAGAAGTCCCAGAGAAGGGTCATTTAACATTTCTACCTTTGGAACCCAGAGACGGGTCGAGTGACCTGAAGGATTTTAGCTAACATCCTATAATGAGCTGTTAACAGGCACTTTTGTTTTGTAAATAAGGCCATTACTGGTGCACCACAGGAGGGGGCACGCTTAACTCCCAACTAACTGTTTTCCATTGAGTTTAGCCATTTAGTTTCTAGTTAGTTATATTCAGTTTATTGTATTTTATAATATGAAGATTTTTTATATATATATTGGTGGCACGTTGTTGCACATTTTGAACAAATTGAAGTCTATTTACCGTTTATTTTTCAATTGGTTTGGCTCATTTCTTGAAACCGAGATGACATTCTCAAAACACCATGTGAAACACAACTCAAGAGACTTTGCATTTTGAGGTTACTGACAATTTGTATGAAACACATATTTTGTTTTGATATATATAGTATTTAGCTTAGTTTTGAGCAAAAAAGCACAGACCATAAGCAATTGTGTGTAAGTCAAGAGGACTAAAACTTCAGCATGAGAAATATAAAAAACAACAATCGTTATTTGTTTCCATGCTTTTTATTTTTGTCATAAAAATACAAGGGATAAAACAATTCTACACATATTTACACTATGCTCTAGTGGGGGGGCTGCGTGTGTGTGAGTGGCTTGTCCTCCTTGTGTGAATGGCATTTCAGCACTCACTCAGTCCATCTGCACTGTCGAAACATACCTGGCACTGCCAGGGTATGTCCCTGGTACATTTGCCACATGTGTATTTGTAGCAGTTGACGCATCTCACAGTTGCACAATTGTTCGTGCATCGATGTTTGATCTGACACTTTGCCCTTTTGCCAGGGCTGGGTGTGGAAGGTTGTTGCTGAAGCAGTTTCTCCTTGTGTGCCTTCTTCTCACAATTAATTTGGTTATTTTTTTCTAAACTGTCATTTTGAACCCATTTCTCTTTTTTCTGAAAGAAAAACATTACTAAAATCTTTTAGAAAAACTTTTGCATATATCTTAAAACAGATTGTATGTTTTGCAAACTTTTGTTTTGTTTTGTTCATTTGGCAAAATGACCTGGATAATGCATCTCTCCCAAAACACTTCATGTATGCTTCAAAACAAAATATGTGTTTCATACAAATTGTCAGTAACCTCAAAATGCAAAGTCTCTTGAGTTGTGTTTCACATGGTGTTTTGAGAATGTCATCTCGGTTTCAAGAAATGAGCCAAACCAATTGAAAAATAAACGGTAAATCGACTTCAATTTGTTCAAAATGTGCAACAACGTGCCACCAAGAGATATAAGTTCAAAATATAACCAGTTGATTTTGCATCTGTTTGGAGTATTAGACAGACGTTTGTGTGAGTTCAGCTTATCTCTCCCCTGCTGATTCCTAAGGCAATGGCCACATTTACAAATGAAAGAATGCTAATTGGAGCCATCAGAGTTGTCCGGTTTGGAGCACTACTTTGACTAAGGCTGCGCTTTTTTGCGCAAGTGAACCTGGCTTCTAAATCCCCCGCTCCCTGGATTGGACATTGGAATGCAGTCTGGTGAGGTGGGTGTGTCTGAGTTACTTGTGTGCATATTTAAAACAAATGGCAGTTAATGGCCCGCAAATTGTTGAGGAGAAGGAGGGGGTTTGTCCTCAGGATCTTGAAAATCTAGTCACTCTAGTGCTAAGGGTCTTTTGACCCTTTTTCAGGACTTCTGGGGGGAGGTCGAAATTCCTGGGACTTCTAGTGTTAATACTATAGATTTGTGTGTGTGTGTGTGTGTGTGTGTGTGTGTGTGTGTGTTTCTGGTGGACACGGAAATTAGGGGTTCATAATTTATTTATTTTTTTCAGGAAGCTTGTTTTTTAATAAATTGAATGTTTGAACCCTTATGTTTTGAGTCCTTGTCCTCCTTAATATGTTTTCTTCTTGGTGGATGTAACAGCTCATCAGTTCTGTCTGATTTAATCTTTCTAAACTGAGGCCATTCAAAAAGCTCTACAACATGTAAGATATTTACTGTTCATAAAGTTGTCACAGAACTCTACTTCAAAAGGGTTGAAACATGCCTTTAGTCATGTTGATACTAGAGAATCATGAAAATTATGAAAAAGTTACTCAAACACGTCTATTCCTTTTCTCTCTCTTTCTGTGTGTGTGCGCGCGCGTGTGTGCGTGTGTGTGTGTGTGTGTGTGTGTGTGTGTAGGGTATGGGCTCAGTGTTTTTCAACAAGGGTGAGAACTGCATTGCTGCTGGACGTCTGTTTGTGGAGGAGTCAATACATGATGAGTTCATCAGCCGAGTGGTAGGTGATTCATCACACTGTCTCAGTGGTATTCTAGGATTAACGTGACCACTGATTGCTATAGCAGTATTTTCATTTTAGAACTTTAATATAGGACAAAACATCTCACGTTTCTTAAATGTATATTCAACAAAGTCAGTCTAAATATATTGATTTAACAAAAAAGTTCTCCTTATCGCCCAAGGTGAAGGAGATCAAGAAGATGAAGATTGGAGATCCTCTGGATCGCTCCACAGACCACGGCCCACAGAACCACAGAGCCCACCTGGAAAAACTCCTGGAGTACTGCGAGATGGGAGTGAAGGAGGGAGCCATACTGCTGTATGGCGGCAAACAGGTTGACAGACCAGGTAAAATACACCTGACAACCACCACTGACTACTGTTACAGAAGTTCTTAAATTCTAATGGATGGATGGTAAGTAAGTTGGAAGGATGGATGATTTGATGGATGAATGGATGATGGATGAATGGATGGTAAGTAAGTTGGTTGGATGGATGGATCGATGGACAGATGGATCAGTGGATCAATGGATGACGGGTGGTTATTTGAATGGAAGAATGGACAGATGGTTAGTTGGATGAATGGATGGATGGATGGATGGATGGATGGATGGATGGATGGATGGAAAGATGGTTAATTGGATGGATGGATAGCTGGATAATTAGATGAATGATTAGATGGATGTTAGTTGGATTGATTGATGTTTAGTTGGATGGATGGATGGATGGATGGATGAATGGATGGTTGGTTGGTTGGTTGGATGGGTTAACATCTGGTGAGTTATTGAGTTAGTTAAAATTATTTCCAGTTCTGCTCCTGAACCAAACTGAGCCTTTGATTTGATGACTGGCTGTAACACATCGTCAGGTTTCTTCATGGAGCCAACTGTCTTCACTGATGTGGAAGACCACATGTTCATTGCCAAAGAGGAGTCCTTTGGTCCCATCATGGTTGTGTCCAAGTTCAAAGATGGGTGAGTCATAGCAGAAGGAACTTGTATGTCATCTGGTTTGGGCTGCCAACATCTGTCCTACATCCTGTGTTTGTCCTCTCCATCCAACCCTCAGCGATGTGGATGGTGTCCTGCAGAGAGCCAATGACTCAGAGTATGGCTTGGCCTCAGGTGTGTTTACCCGTGACATTAACAAGGCCATGTATGTAAGCGAAAGGCTAGAGGCGGGAACCGTGTTCATCAATACGTACAACAAGACTGACGTTGCTTCACCTTTTGGAGGATTCAAACAATCTGGCTTCGGAAAAGACCTTGGTCAGTAGAAACTTGTACTTTTACTCATTTTTTTGCCCAATGGTTTCTTGAAAGGGGCAGCACGGTGGAGCAGTTGGTAGAGCTACCGCCTCTCAGTGAGCAGGTCGTCCCGGTTCAAATCCCAGCTGGGAGCCTTTCTGTGTGGAGTTTGCATGTTCTCTCCGTTGATGCGTGGGTTTTCTCCGGGTACTCCAGTTTCCTCCCACAGACCAAAAACATGCATGTTGGACTGACTGATAACTAAATTGTTCCTACGAGAGAGAGTGAATGGTTGTTTGTCTCATTTGTCTCCATGTGTCCCTGTGATGGACTGGAGACCTGTCCAAGGTGTTCCCCACCTCTTGCATAGTGATGGCTGGACATGGGCACCAGTGACCCCAGTGATCTGAAATGTTAGAAGCGGGTCAAGATGATGGATGGATGGATGATTTCTTCAAAACTAACAGTATCTTTTGATTCTGCAGCAGAGCTGACTCACACCTAAATGATTCTATGATGAAATAAATGCTCAATGTCTTCTGGTTCCCCGGCAGCTTTGAGAATGCGCTCATGTCTTGTCTTGTACCATGTCTTGTCTTGTACCACAGGAGAAGACGCCCTCCTGGAATACCTCAGGACCAAATCAGTGACTGTGGAGTACTGAGGCTCACACTGAACACATTCACACCTCCAGCTTTCAGAGCGCTTCAGAACAATGTGGAGGGATTTCCAGTCACAACTCCTGCACCAGCAACTGGACAACATGGCTGTCTGTTGGGACACAAGTTGGAAAAGGCTTTTGTCTTTTCTGGCTTATTTTTGACAGTTTACATGTCTTAAATAAGGGATAGAAGTTTGTTTTTTAAAATTTTATTTATTTTTGTAAATGTTTTTGAACATCTCGATGAAGCCTTTTATGGATGCCACCCTGCCTCATAAGTCAGGTTGTTTTACATTTACATTGTTCTTCAGAAATAAGCATTAACAAAACATGAGTTGACCATAAGACACATTATCACTCCTTATTTTCCTCTTTTTTCTTTCTGACCAGTTGTCTCTAATAGCTTTTCTTGTAGAAAGTATACCACATTTATTTAAGTATACCACAGTGTTAAAAAATTCAACCCACTACATTTTTCATCTTTCTATTTCTAACGTTTGAATGCCTAAAGACTGTTTTTTTTATATTCTGCCCCTCCATTACCTGAGCTGTTGTTCACGTAGCCCCAAACTTTTCAACTCATTATAAAAAGATGTCATAATCATATTATGTTATCCGGAAGATAACACTGTCAGTCATGACTTGTCTACCAGAGACACAAGGCCTGCATCAGTTTTTTCAGGTATTGCTGATTTGAAACAAGCTGCAAGAGTTAGCCTGTTAGCAGAAAAATCGGACACACATTTACTTTTGTCCATGTTTTTATTCATTTCTTTATTTTGGTGCAATCAATGAACACATTTTTTTTTTTTAGACAAAGCCTAAAAATCCTTTTGTTTTTTATTTTGTCATATTTTTTTCAGATGCTCTCATAACCTCACAGAAATTTTACTTCACTAAATATCTGCTACATTAAAATACAGTATAAACACAACTTTTAATCCCATATTTATCACATAATAAAATAATGCATTCCTATCAGTAATATTTATTTCTTTTCACCTCTATCACTTTACTTTAGATTTTTATATTATCCCACTAGATGCTGCTCCGTTTTTGTCTTTGAAAGCTTCTAAAATCACCAACCGGTAGCTTCAACTCACCCTAGAAGCAGAACCCTCCCTCAGCCAGACGTGGCTGCAGAGTCTGTCCTCTCACTTTGTTGTTTGGCTGTAAAGAATAAAAACTCAACGGTAATGTGCACAAGTGAACATTTGGTACCAAAATGCTGTTCCACATGCATGCAGACTGCAGCATCGGACGTTCCATGGCTGACTGCCATTGGTGTTATCCAGAGCAGGACATCATTACAGCAGGACATTGCACAATGGCCAGGACATCCTTGTAAAAGGGATTCAGTGGATTTCTTTCCTGGTAAAACAAAGGTTTAAATAAAATTAAAAAATTGGCGGGTGCACCATATTGTTGCAGCTTGCTAGTATATCCAGGTCAGTAAAAGCAAAAAACAAATTAGAAACTAGCATTTCTACAACGGGTAGAGTTTAAAAAAAAAAAATTAGACAAAACTTTGTTTGCCACTGAGAGACCGAAACCAGTTTGACTGAAAACAAGGCTTCGTTTTCAGCTACTGGGTCTGAAAGGTCCGATGGGCTGGAAAATGCACCCCCCAACCCAACCCCTAAAACAAATAAATAGATAAAAATTGTGGATTTTTTAGAAAACGTAAATGTTAAATTTTTTAAACCCTAAGTTTAAAAGATGTGTTAATATTTTAAAAAGTCGTTTAAATTTGATATTTTTATTTCAGGCTGAGGTTGCTGTAAAAGATTAACAAATGTTTTGAAATATATATTTTAAAGTATTATTAAACATTTAAAAAAGGTGGTCTATGTTTTCCCCTTAGGAACACTGAATGTCATGAATTTAATGGGACATGCTGTTCTGGGTCAATTACACCCAAATAAAAAGCATTAAATTGTGAAACTGCTATTTTTGTTTAAAGTTATCAGAATGTGATGATGACCCATGAATACTTTTTCATTTAACACTTTTGCTTTGTGAAGCTCTTTTTTTGCAGAAAGATTTAAGAAGTTGTTCAGTTTACAACAGAGTGGTGTTGATCTGTGATGGGACAATTATGAATGCTCTTTAGGTTAGACAGGTGCTCATAATGGTTTGATCTGGATTTAGAACAAAAACTCAAAAGAGAAACTACTTAAGTTGGTCTGAACTGAGCAAAATATGCATATATATATA